GTTTGTATGGTGTGGTGTGGTGCGGTGTGACTGGGGCTATTCTGGATGGTTACAAACGATTATATTATTACGAGGATACAGAAAACTGTCTCTGGGACGTTGCATCATATCAACGAGGGAAGGATTGAGGCAAATAAAGGAAGGATATAGAGTGAGGATGTTGAGGATACCCGCCCGCTCTGGCGAAATATGAAAATAGGAAGCCTCTCCCCCCCCCCCCCCCCCCAAAAAAAAAAAAAAGAAGAAAAAAAAAGACGATGTGCATTTGTTCCGTCTTACTGGGAGCGATGGATGAGAACGGACCCCCTGTTTTTCTTTCTTCTCTTCTTCTCTTCTCCTTTTCCTCTTCCTTCCTTTTTCTCCTGTACAGTCCGTCGTCTTCTTCCTCTCTTGGTGGGGGATGTGGTCGTATCATGCAGGTACCATCAACTCGTACTAGAGATACTATATTCTCCATGCATATATATGCATATATATATGTGTGTGTGTGTGTGTGTGTAATTGTATACTAATGGATTCTTGTTCATTTTATAATATATAAAGTATATATACAGGAAAACCTCGTATTATCATGCAGGTATAACCCGCTCCTCTTTTCTCTCTCTCTTTTTTTTTTCCCTTCTTCTTTTTCTTGTTCTTCTGTCTTGTCCTTCCCCCGTGTGTCTGTGCCCCCCCCCCTCTGCAGCCTGCTTTACCCCGGTTCGTCCCGTGAGGGGGGTTGAATGCTATGCAAGGGATGGGGAGGGCTGGACGGCGATCATGCGTTGATGGTGGCGTGCACGCTATCTATTATTTTACTAGGTAGTGGATGAAAAGGGAAGGGATATGATTAGAATTGGAGTTTTTTTTTTATAAAAAAAAAGAAAAGAAAAGAAAAGAAAAGAAAAGGAGGGGAAAAAAGATGTACAGAAAGAAGAAAGGATCAGAGCGACAGATTGACTGTGCAGAAGCTGAGAAGGAAAAGGCAAGGGTGAAGAGCAAGAGAGAGGGAGAGAGATGAGTTTTGGAGAATGGGGAATAGAGAGAGAGAGGGGAACGAGAAAGGAAAAGAAGAGAAGAGAAGAGAGCGATAGGTTCATCCTTTCTGGGAAGCAGATGGCCGTATCCGTTACGGGGCGTGCAGTCGGAATCATAGCTGTCTCTGTACTCGGCCTCGAGGTTGAGGGCGTTTATCGTCAGTTGGATATGCTGAGCAGCGTCGTGTGGATGAGATCGTGGTACGGATCAGAGGTCTGGATGTCCGAATGGTATTCGCGTGTGAATGTCCGAGCAGCATTCTCGTCCACATCGGTATACATGACATTCCTTCGTGTCAAGTGCTCGACGAGCATCCATCGTGAGTATCCATGTCTCAACCGAGTGTCTCGTATAGTCGGGGTATTTATCCGATTCACGTTTCAGCTATATACGATTAGGAGGGGTCTGACTGGCACAGAAGAAGAAGAAGAAGAAGAAGAAGAAGAAGAAGAAGAGAAGAAGAGTGGAAGAGGAGAGAAGGGTGAGAGAAGAGATGTGCCGTGGAACGAAAGAGAGGAAAGAAGATGCCGATGAGGCAATGGGATGGAGGGATGGACGGGAGACTAGGAACCGAGCAACGGCCCAAGGACCGGAGCGGTGGAACTGATCAGTGATCAGACCCGATGGACTTGAGTGGCCAAGCTTGGGCGGAGAGTATCGATGACTGGAGAGAAAAGAGCCATCTCATGGACGGATCGAGATTGAAGCGTCAAGAGAGGAAGAGAGAGAGAGAGAGAGAGAGAGAGAGAGAAGCAGGTGATGTTGCATGCACTAGCCTGATGATCAGTGGGCCGTGGCGTAAGGCTCACCATGGAGGGGAAAGGGAAAGGGAAAGGGGGTTGGTTCTCTCACCATCCGATGCGCTTTTTCCCTTCTCGGCAGAGAGGTCGAGGTCCTAGGAGATGTCAGCCAGCCTCGGCAGGTGAGAGGGTACATGTGATCTGTACACCCGTCGTAGACGGTGTCGTCTTGGAAGGGGCAACGAGAAGGACGGGTACAGATCAGAGTACGGGGTGATCTGTACTGCATGTACGTGGAGGACGGTTCGTGGGAAGGGGTACGAGTGAGGATGATGATATTCCCTGTAATAGTACGAGTACAAGATGTATATATATATACGGAGGGATCCGAAGAGGTGTGGTTCCTGATTCCCCCGGCATCATCAGCACCAGTATCAATCTGTACAGATTATCATTCGTATTATTATCATTATTCTCCGTATTATCCGTATTGTTCATATTATTCGTATTATTATCATTATTCTCCGTATTCTCCGTATTGTTCAGATTGTTCGTATTAGTATTCGTGACAATAAACCATGCATGCAATGATGGTGTTGGTTTCGTCTTTTCTCCTTTATCGTCACCTTACGATCTCACAGGTGCATCAGCTCCTTCTTTTAGGAAGAGCCTTTGCGTTTGTGATGATCGATATGTTGTATTGTTCTAAAATGACTCTCATCGTGATAGTTGTATGTGAGTATGTTTGCCAAAGTCTGAGGCGACAACATCGGACCCGGATTATCCCTTTCTTCCGGTTGCATTTGGCTGTTTGATGCAAGCAGATACAAACAGATAGTTACCCTGCACATATGTATATATAGAAACACTAGACTCGATGATGGCAACGCGTAATCACGTCGCGAGTAATAGAAGGAGCTAGCTGGCTAGCTATATCAGTACGAGTACGTATAGTACGAGTATGAGTATGGCACACATTACAGTGTACCCGTGCCAGTGATGGAGTATCATGCGGTAACACTGCGCTGTTTGCTTGCTGGGATAGCTACGGATACTGCCTGAGTCATTTCATCGGCTACGGCTTAGGGGTAAGGTACCACCGCTAGGGTAGCCATCACTGCTTGTCATGGGTAGACGGTTGTGACTGCTAGCAGACAGAGATGTCGAGACCGATTGATGATTGCCAAGGAGGGATTGGGACCTGACATCTAGCGGAACTCTATATTCTGCCCGCTGTACCTGAGTGAGGGATTTGAACTTTTTTTATTCATTGCAAAATTTCTCTTAAATATCTATCTGTAATTTTCTGGGGGTTTATTTATTGACGTACCTGAATAATTTATCTAACTATTTTTTTTTTACTCTGTCGGACCTGTCACGGACCGCGGTATCAACTGCTAGCATGCTATCATCTACCATCAGGCCCTTTTTTTTCTTTTTTTCTTTTTTTCTTTTTGTGTGTGTGTGTGTGTGTGTGTTTGTTCGTGTCTGGTATGTGATGGGTGAAGGCGGGGCGGATCTTCCATCATTCGGTACGATGACTTACCTGGTGAGAGAGACGAGGACAGGAAGAGTTCCGCCGCGGGCGATGTAGCGGGGCGGGGATCATCATGAGGGCAAAGGTCGAGTCACTGCCATGATGCATAGTACTGAGAGTCAGCAGTGTGCGGTGACTATGATTATCAGTATCTGTACTTTTATTTTATTTTATGATTCTATAATTATTTAATATACATATATATATATATATATATTTGCTTCCGTGGTGTACCCGGCGGTGTACCTATTACATACATACAAGGTAATACCTCGGCTGAGACACCGCCAGAAGGGCAGGGAGAGGACAGGTTGGGGAACCTGTTTTTTATTTTTATTTTTAATTCATTTTTAAATTTTTTTAAAAGAAGACGCAAGCAGGTAGAAAACGCTGCCCGGTATTGCGAGTTTAGTAATGACACTATTACCTACTAAACCCATAGTAGGCCATCATCATACTGACCAATGTGTTCGTATCTTGTACTGGTGGTTACGACTTTTGTCACCGTGAGGCTGGGGACCTATGAAATCGCTACGAGTTCAAAGCATCTTTTACGTGTTTTCTTCTTCTTCTCCTCTTTCCTTCTTTCTCTCTCCTTCTTTTCTTTCCCTCCTTGTTCTTTCTGTGGAGAGATCAAAAACAAAGGACAGCTTTACAGGTACGAGTAATAAGAAGCCTCCGAAGAGGGAATAGGCAATATTATGTAATGACCTCACCGGCCCCTTCACCCTGCAAGCCCTTTACTGAGAAGAACAGCAAACAGCAAAAAAAAAAAAAAAAAAAAAGAGCTAAAGAGGGACGTGTGAGTGCCCGGGATCCACCTGCCAGCTGGCGCACCTTGGGTGCTTTACCTCTCTTCTCCCTACGTAGGGGTCGTCCGTGTGTCGGCCGGTACCATCCGCTGAACGGCCTACAGGCCACACGAGGGGCCACCACTGAGGTCAGGTCGGCCTACCTACCGTACAGGGCTTGCAGGGCTTGCAGGGCTTGCCGGGCTTGCAGGCTCAGAGGGTAGAACGACACAAGGCAACAGAGAGCAGATGGGGCGGGCCGGAAGCCGTGTCTGACTCACTCGACTCACATGGGAAGGACTAGAGAGGAAAGGAGGGAGATGTAAAAAAAAAAAAGAAGAAAAAAAAGAAAAAAGAAGAAGAAAAAGGAAAGAGAAAGGGAAAAAAACCCAACCTTGGACCATACAGGTGTGCAGCACGTACACGTAGAACTAACCCCCATCGGGTACCAAGCATCGTCTCTCCCTTCTCTGTCCTTGCCAGTCCCCCCCCACCCTTTCGGCCAGCAAAGCAGCGACGGCGGCAATCCATCAGCTGACCAATCACCGCCATCCTGACCTTCTCTTCCGTACGTCGTACTCGCACACGTCGCATACTCTCTTTCCACCTCTCACCGTCTTGTGGGGTGGTATATCGAGTAACACACACACACACACACACACACTCTCTCTCTCTCTCTCTCTATGTTTGTACCCCCCCCCTGGGATCTGCTGTGTTGCCATTGCTGTATGGGTGCAATATCGGACCGTTGCATCCTTCACGCGTTGCCTCTGCATCGTCATGTGCTGAATGTTTGGAAGCCGGGGATGACCAGCCGACAGCAGGGGGGTAGGGAGAGAGAGAGAGGGAGAGAGAGAGAGAGAGAGGGAGAGAGAGAGAGAGAGGGAGAGAGAGAGAGAGAGAGAGGGAGAGAGGGTGTGTGGGAGACCAAAATTCAACATGTCGGGTACCTTGCATGGGAATAGCATTACATACTCGTTGTATACTCGGTGACGGAGTACAGCTTCAACTCCTGATCATGCTAGTCAATGCTAGCAATAGTAGTCGTAGTCGTAGTAGTAGTAAAAGTAGCCGGGAACCTTCGTGTGTGAGAGGGTGCCCGTGTATACCGTACAGGACCCCTGCCAACAGCCTCTTCTTTCCTTCTTCAGACTCTCAGAGGGACCGAGGTCTGGACTGACATGTAGTCGTGCCTCATCCCTTGCAGGAGCGCACACGCTTGTGATGTGCTGGCCCAGCACGGGCAGGGTATATCTCTCCATCTCTCCAGTACGATGTAGGGATCTGCTAGTCAGTCACCACCCCATCTCTGGCCAGGTAAGCCCAGGTACGAGTAAGGCCGCAACGGCTACGGTGAGCGCAGAGTGAGTGATGAGTCTTGACCAGATTTGTGTGTGGGTATCGGTTGGTTAATGGGGCGGGGGGGGGGAGAAAGAAGAAAAAAAGGAAGAAAAAGAAAGAAAAAAAAGAAAAAAAGAAAAAAAGAAAAAAGAGGGTTCTCAATGATAACATCACTAGCATCAGCATCTGTAGACCGCGATTCCATGCGTAGTGATATTACGGCTTACGGCTAACGTACAGCCAAACCGATTCATTGGAATGCTACGTCAGTCTTAGCGTAGCGGGAACCTTCCCCACCATTCTTTTTTATTTTTTATTTTTTATTTTTTGGGAATTTTTTTTGGCAATCTTCTTGCCCATCCCGCATCTGCACCCGCATGTTCCCATGTCTTGTAACTGGTATATCATGTCGTAGGCGGAGGAGGAGGAGGAGGAGGAGGAGGAGGAACTTCGTGGCCAGCCATCGTCGTGACAGGGCAGAATAGGATAGAACCCGACATCTGCTCTCTTCTTCTTTTCTTCTTCTTCTCGACCTCTCCCCCCCTCCCCCTCCCCCTCCTTCTTCTTTCATCTTGATATCAGATGATCAACATCAGCCTTTCTGTCGTTGCTTCTTCCTCTCTTCCCTCGCCCTCACCTGCAAGGTACCGCCGTCACCGTCGCCGCCCTTGCATCTATCCCATCCCACCATCAACTCTTATATATATTCCTATCTGTTCATCACCCACAACGGTCCGTGCGCGTTGACCTGCTCTGTCTTCTTCTTCTTCTTCTCTCGATAGAGATAAAAGGCATCGTGCCCGACATATATTCTTGTCTTGATTCACCCTTCTCCTTCAGGGTCTTTTATATATATCCACCTTTGCCCCTCCACCGTGTGCCCTCCATCAGTGTTTCCTTCTTGCCGCGCAACGTCTTCTACCTTCTTTCGACAACTTACACACATCATGCTTCCCTCAACACTCCGTCCGGGAAGCCTTCGGCAGAGGTCTCGCTCGACTCGCTCGACGGTCAGGAAACACTCCTTCCGCGACGACATAGGCCTCGTCGCCATCCGCTACGAGAAGATGGCCCAGGGAGAGGCCCCCACCCCCATCAAGTCGGTCAACCCTGTCCGCACACCAACATCGCCATCGCGACCTGCCTCCGTCACCGCCATATCCCCCTCTTCGGCATCCGCATCGCCGTCGCTGTCGTCGTCGCTCACGCGGTCGCCGTCGGACGCCTCGTCTTCGTACAGCACCCCCTCCCCGCCCTCCACCGCCCCGTCGTCGCCCTCACCGCTGGCCTCTCCGATCGTCGTCGTCCGTCCTCCCCCAACCGAGGAGCACCCCGCTCTGCGCGGGGATAGGAAGCGCGACTCGGCTCATGCGCCCGCCAGCTTGTCGTCCAGGACGACACCTACCATTGACGAGGAGGAGGAGGAGGCGGCGGCGGCGGAGGACGTGTGCGGTGACGGTGACGAGGATTACCAGTACTATCGTCACATGAGGCTGAGGCCTGCGTCCTGCTCGGCCACGCCCATGACCTCTCCTTCCGCTGCTCCTGCCGCGGCTGACGTTGCCGCCCGGCAACCCGCTGAAGAGAGCGGCGAGTCGTCGTCGGCCGGGGAGGACGACGACCAGACGGAGCCGACGCCGTCCGCCCCTTCCACCTTCTCGGATCACCCCTTCCCCGCCGTCGTCGTCCCCCCCCGGCTGAGGAGACGGTCGACACCGGTCATCCAGCTGGACGCCGCCCGCAACAGCTCCTCCCTCTCCCTCCCGGCCTCGTCGCCGTCCACCAACCTCTTCCCCAGCAAGAGCCTGCGTCTGCGTACCTCCACGTCGGAGTCCCATGTTGGAGCCCAAGCCCAAGCCGTCCCTCGTCGCGCCATCTCCCACCTGGACTGGGACCACGGACGTTGCGATCGGGACCGCTACCACCACCGCTGCCGCCGCCGCTGCCGCCACCACGACGCCGATGCAGACCTCGAGTCCACCGCGTCCGCGCCTAGCACGCATCCGCCCCGCCGCCGTCCACCCATGGACCCACACGCCGAGTCAGGTACGGAGGGTCCCACCTGGTCGAGCCAGCAGGATGAGGACGAGGCCGTCGAGACGGAAAAGATCGAGCCGGCCGCCGGAGAGGGTGCACGGATCGAGGCGTCGGTTTCTGCCACCGGTGCCGATGCCGGTGGTGCTGCTGCCGCGTCGGGAGCGGTGGTTGGAGAGCAGGCCTCCCCCCCCGCCACCACGGCTGACGCATCCGTGCCTGAAGCGGACGGCCTGGGCCCCGATAGCGGGTCCGCCAGCGCAACCCGAGTAGAGGACGGCGCTGTCGACGGCGCTACCGACGGCGCTACCACAGGTACAGACACGTACGCAGACGCTCCAGGCACCGCATGCGGCATTGATACTCCGAGCACGTGCACCACCACCACCACCACCACCACCACTACTAGTACTAGTGCTAGTAGCAGTACTCCTCCAGTTAGTAGCAGTACTCCTCCAGTTAGTAGCAGAACTCCTCCAGTCAGCAGCAGCAGAATCACGAGCCCCACCAGCCACACCACCGATAGCACAACAGCTGGAGGTCGACGCCACCACCGCCACACCCTCCTGGGAGATAACACTGCTCCTTCTGCCCTCTCTGTTCGTATCGCTGCCGCTTTCGCTTCCGCCCCTGCCTCCCCTGCCTCCCCTATCTCCCCTACCTCCCCTGTTTCTGCCCCCTCCTCCCCTGCCACCCTCGACACGAGCAATACCCGTGCTGCCGTCGCCGCCACTGCTCGTATTGCCGGTGATAATACCAGTACGAGTATTGCTGCCAGTAATAATACCGCTCCGCCATCCTCTGCCTCCCCCCCCTTGTCCCCTCCCCTGTGGAAACGGGGCAGGTCCCTCCTCCTTCGACGAAACGACTCCACATCCACCTCGCCCTCCACTATTACCGCCGCCGCAGCACCACCCACCTCCACAAGCCAGCACACCACGGCAACCGCCAGCGACACCGCGACGACGGCCTCCCACACTCCCCTCCTCGACATCTCCATCCCCTCCGACACCTTGGTCGAGGATGATTTCATAGCCGGCCTCAACTTTTCCCAACGGGGCAGTGTCATTCTCGACGCCGACAATCTGGACGGCCACGGCAACGGCAACGACGACGACAGAGACAACGGCGACGACATGGCCACCAGGCAGGAGCAGGAGCAGGAGCAGCGACAGCCTCCCAGCACCGGCAACCCCCCTCCTCGCGACGATGAGCAGGAGCAGCACCAGCGCCAGCACCAGCACCAGCACCAGCACCAGCACCAGCACCAGCAGTCCACGAAGATGACCACGACCAACCACGATGCCGAACCTACCACCACCCCCGATCCCAACACTGCTGCGACAGACGTGCCGGTGTCGACGTCCCAGCAGCCTGCCCTCCCCGATATTCGTGTCATGGCGGCCGACGCAGACAGGGAGTCTCTAAAGGTGAGATCGCTCTATGCAGTTGGCGGCAGTGCCATGAGGTGGGAGGATGGCGCGACGCCGTCATCGTCAATGGGAGACCGCCCTAAACCTTCCATTGCCGAGCACCCTGCCGAAGAGGATGAGGGCGTCCCGTATGATCTTCCACCTCCTGCACTTCCCCACTCCCTCTCCCCCCCCCCCTTTCACACACACACACACACACACACACACACACACACACACACACACGTGACATATTTCGCAGCCATTATTCCAATCGTCCAACTTCATCGGCTAACTTATCGTCTCCCAGATCCCGCGCGCGAACTCATCTCAGTCCCGTCGCAAGTACGTCCATCAACTCCTTCGACTCTTCATCCCGGCGGCCCAGCATCTCTGATGGCAGAGAGGCCGTCGCAGCCGCCACGGCCGCGGCTGGCGGATTCGAGGATTGGGATGACCTCGACGGCCTGAGCGTCGACCGCTACGGCTTCATCACAGCCCCGCCCCTGCGCCCCGCCTCGTCCAGGCTGGCGACGCCCACCGAGCTCAAGTCGTCGCAGTTCTCGACCAGGAGGCGCAATATCCTGCAGAAGAGGAGCCTGGTGGCCATGACGGTGGACGGGGACGGCAACCGCATCCCGACGCGCAAGACGTCGACGCGCTCGCTGTACACGCAGCACTCGGCCGTGTCCATGACGTCCGTGCGCTCCTCCCGCTCCGTCATCCGGCAGGCGAGCAACCTGCTACCGCACAACCGCCACCGCCGCTGGATGGACGAGGCCGGCGACATGCTGACGGTGGCGCCCAGCATGCAGGACGTGGCCGAGGAGGCCCGCGTCGAGAAGATCTCGGAGGCGCTCAAGCGCAAGGAGTGGGAGCGGTCCGAGAAGTGGCGCAAGATGGCCACCATCGTCAACCGTGACGGCGGCGATGACGGCGGCAGCAAGAATAGCAGCAACAGCAACAACGAGGCCGGCCTCCGCGGCGGCGGCATGCAGTTCGAGTTTGACGTCAACAACCCCAAGCTCATCGAGCGCACGTGGAAGGGCGTGCCCGACTGCTGGCGCTCGGCCGCCTGGTGGTCCTTCCTCGAGGCCAGCGCCCGCAGCCAGCCGGCCGGGACCCAGCCCAGCGTGGCCAGCATCATCGCCGACTTCCACCGGCTGCAGGGCACCGCGTCGGCCGACGACGTGCAGATCGACCTCGACGTGCCCCGCACCATCAGCCAGCACATCATGTTCCGCCGGCGGTACCGCGGCGGGCAGCGGCTCCTGTTCCGCGTCCTGCACGCGCTGTCCATATACTTCCCCACGACGGGCTACGTGCAGGGCATGGCCGCCTTGGCCGCCACCCTGCTCTGCTACTTTGACGAGGAGCGCTGCTTCGTGATGCTGGTGCGCATGTGGCAGCTGCGCGGGCTCGAGCGGCTGTACCGGCCCGGGTTCGAAGGGCTGATGACGGGTCTGGACGAGCTCGAATCCTCCTGGATGGACAGGGACGTGGCCGCCAAGCTGGAGGAGCTGGGCATCGACAAGACGGCCTACGGAACACGCTGGTACCTGACCCTGTTCAACATGTCGATCCCCTTCGCCGCCCAGCTGCGCGTGTGGGACGTCTTCCTCCTCCTAGGCGGCAACCACCACCACTCTGCCAACAGCAGTAGCAGTAGCAGGAAGAAGTTTCTGCAGCAGCAGCAGCAACAGCAGCAGCAGCAGCTGCTGCAGGAGCAGGACAGGAGACGTCCCAAGACGGCCGACCCCGCATCCATGGCCAAGGCCAAGGCTGCAGCGGCAGCCGCGGCGGCGGCGAAGCCGCCCCCCACCGGTCTGGACGTGCTGCACGCCACGAGCGCTGCCCTGATACATGCGCTGAGGGAGGTGCTTCTGGACTCGGACTTTGAGAATGCCATGAAGGCCCTCACGGCATTTACACCCATCAAGGATGAGGATCTGTTGATGAAGGTTGCCAGGGCAGAGTGGAAGCGTCGACACAAGAGGTGAAATCTTTCAGTCTCGACGACGTTGTGGTTTTTATGGGGGTTTCTTTTCTTCTTTTTTTTTTAAAAAAAAAAAAGAATCCCCCCCTCCCTCTCTCTCTCTTTCCATACTCTTTTTTTTGTCTTTCGTTTTTTCTCGTTTTCCCGTCTTGAACTGATGTATGAGTTTTACAAAGTAAGATCTTTTCTCTTTTTAATAACCTAGTTTCTTTTCTCCCTTTCTCCCCCCTCCCCGGCTTCTGTCTCCCTACTTTATTTCTCTTTCTATTACTTTTTCCACATTCCTACCCTTTTTTTCCCCTTATATATACACATTATTTAATGTTTCCCGTTTCTTCCTTCTCCTTGACCTTTATATATGATTCCTCTTCTTTTGCTACTTTCTCTCTCTTTTTCTATCATCCTTTTTTTTTCTTTCACCTCTCTTGTCTCTGTCATCCCCCCTTCCTCTCCCTTCGTGATACAAACACACACACACCCCGATACCCCTTCAATCTCATGTTAATAAGATCAGGTAACTTAACCGGTCACCATACTATCATTAAGAGAAAACGTCTCTCTTTTTTTCTCTCTTTCTTTTTTTGTCGGGTGGAGTTTGATTAATATAGGACTTGGTTGTGCTTTTGTGTGCTTGCTTGTGAAGTGACTTGACTGTACGAATACTTGCTCGATATGATTGACTTGCTTGCTTGACTTGACTCGTAAAAAAAAAAAGAAGAGAAAAAAAAGTCCGCGTCATCGTGTATGACAAGACAATGTATATCCATCTGTACACGACAAGAAAGAAGAAAGAAGAAAAGAGAGGATAACACACATGCAATCACTCACACCCACTCACTCATACACTCACACTCACTCACATTCTCACACATACACATCTGCTATGCACACATACAAATAACACCATGCAATGTATTACTATCCCCAAGGCCAACATGAACAGCAAAGAGTAGAAAGAACAGAAAAAAATAAATAAATAAAAAAGACAAAAAACACCAGTCGAGATGCAACAAGTCTGAAAAAAATAAAGGATAAAGATGGGGGGGGAGACAGAGGAAGAAGTTTTTTGGGGGGGGGGGGGGGGGGGGGGGGAAAGAATGAAAAAAAAAGAGAAGAAACCAGTCCCTAGTGAAAAAGAGTAAAAAAAAAAAGTAAACATATCTGGGCTGTTGACTCTCTGAGTAAAACCATCATGGGAAAGGAGAAAGAAAAAAAAAGGGGGGGGGTGGGGGGGAGGGGAAAAAAAAAGAGACAGGAAAAATATCTACATGTACATAAAGTCATCCAACCGATCAACCCTCCGCCCTCAACCCCAACCCCCCCATCACTCCCCCTCAGCAGGTTCACTACTCAGCAGCGCGGAAACAGACTGTCTACCCTGACCCTGTGCACCACCAGCCTCGCTCCTCGATCTCTCCCTAGTGACGACGTGAGGAAGCGGCGAGTGAGGCGGATTCGACGTCGTGCCCATCGCGGAAGAAGGTCCGGCGGCGGCGACAGGTCCGCTATCCGTCGTCGTCCCTTCCGTCGTGCGATCGCTAGTGGCTGACGAGGGCCACGTGAATTCGCTCCGTTGCCTCTTGTGTGCCCTCCTTGGACCGCCGGGACCGGGACCGGGACCGGGACCTGATCCTAGTCCGGGAGGTTGATTCCTGGAAGATGAGGAGAAGGAGGTGGATGCCGCGAATGGGAAGAACGACGTCGTTGGCGCTGGTGATTGTGGTCTCTGGTCGCTGGAGGCTGTACCTTTCCGCTTTCTCGACGGCTGCTGCTGCTGCTGCTGCTGCTGCTCAACTATAAAATAGGGGGGAGAGCCACACCAAAATTTTATTAGCCTGTGGGCAAGACAAAACATGATATAAAAAAAAGACTACAGCGACCCTCGCTTTCTCTTGGTCTTTGACGAACCAGAGGGGGATCCGGGGCGGTGTGACCCGGAAGTGGACTGCGATGTTGTCGGAGGATGCCAGTGGTGAAAGTAGATGGATGGGCTCGGATCTTGCTGCTGTTGCTGATGCTGCTGGGAAGCTTGACCGTGCGTCTGCGTCTGCGGATGGGCGGCGACGATGACCGGGGTGGCACCGGCACCGGCACCGGCACCGGCACCTGCGCTGCTCGGGGCGGTCGGAGGACCGGGCGGTGGTCCCTGCTGGCTGGTGATCGTCTGCGCTCTCGACCGTGTCGGCGAGGAGGGATTCTGCTGCACGGGCACGTACGCACCCGGCGTCACGGCGTAGTGGTGGGATGCCGACGGGTCCCTCTGATGGTGCGGCGACACGGGTCCCTGCGGCTGGGGCTGCTGGGGCTGATGTTGCTGCTGCTGGCCGGCAGACATGAGCTGCAGCTGGTGCTGGCTCTGCACAAGAGAGGTCGGCAGGAACTGCTGCGCCCATTCCAGGGCCGAGTGCGACAGGACACTGCTTCCTCCTCCCATGCCGGCGAACACCAGAGGCACCATGGCCGGTGGGATGCCGCCTCCCAGCGAGGTCCGCAGCATGTCGGCCTCGATCTTCCTCTGCTCCAGACGCAGACCCTCCTGCCTCGTCTTCTCCTCCTCCTGCTTGGTCCTCTCCTCCTCTGCCCTGGTCTGCAGCCAGCTCCTTGTAGATTCCTCCGACCCTTGCCACCGCGACGGGACAGCGCCGACGGAGGGAGACTGCCACTCGTGCCCCGCTGCCGGAGGGGGTGGGGGTGGGGGATTGTGAATGAGTGACGGAGGAGGAGGGGGGGGGGGATACTGGTGATGCTGCGGCGGCGGTGGTACCGGTTGGTGTTGTTGCAGCTGCTGTTGCTGTTGCTGTTGCTGTTGATGCTGCATCTGATGTTGCTGCTGCTGATGTTGCTGATGTTGCTGCTGCTGCTGCTGCTGCTGCTGCTGCTGTTGTTGATGTTGAGGGGCCAAGGTCATGGCCGCCGGGGGAGGTAGACCCCGGTGAGGGGCAGACATGTTCTGGGGTTTAGGACTCTGGCTCTTCCGCGGCTTCTGCTGCGGCGGATACTGAGGTTGCCGCCAGTGAGCAGCGGGATCTTGATGCCCGAGGAGGGGCGGAGAGAGTCGAGGGGCGGAGGGTGGCGTTGGCAGGTCATGGACAGACTTGTAGCCGTACGTCGCTGGCTGCGTGACTGTAAGCATCTTGAAGACGACCGAACAACGGGGCTTATATCGAGGAGAACATCTGAGTAGGATGAGACAATGAGAACATCAGAGAAGGGGGGAGATGTTGAGAAGCACCAAAAAAAAAAAAGGGCAAGTCTGCGTGCGGGTGCAGGTAGAGTAGGTAGTAGCTGTAACGGATATTGGAGAGAGGATACGAGATGAGTGAAATGTGTTAACGAAGAAGTCTAGAACCGGCAAGAGTGGTTGGGAAGAGAGGAAGGGGACCAAGGTTAAAAACGTTTTGAAACGTCCGCCATGCGGGGTGGTTTGTCGATTTAAATGACATGGATGGGCGGCTGCAGCAGGCGGAAAAGGCTTGAGAGAAGGGGGGGGGTCGGGTGGGCAAGGGGAAGACAATATCAGATAGACCAAATCGCCCTTGTCAAGATGCAGTTTTTTTTTGGTGTGTGTTTGTGTGTGTGTGTTTTGACTTCTTTCTGATTTAAGGGTATACGTATCCAGCAGGAGAGACAGAAAAGAGTTCACCACGGATGATGGATGATGAAGAGAAAGAGAGAGAGAGAGAAAGGGAATACAACCTTTGGCACAGTAGATGCATAAACAAAGTCTACAAGCAGAGCTGGATGTGGCGGCCAGCCCAGGGAGGATTCAACAGTAGGCGACGTCGAGTGGTGGTGGCCTTGGGAGGAGACGGAGGATAGAGCAGGTGTCGACGCTCATTTGTCCGCCATGGGAGATGGAAGCCGCAAGTGGCAGTCGTGAACTCGTAGTACGTAGCTTCCGGGGAGTTTTTCTGATCAGGTGAGACACGCAGGCGAATCCTCCTGGCTGATCGGTCCTTGGTGATTTGGTGATTTGGGTTGTGAAAGTAGTGAGTAGGTAGCACGCATCACTCGTAGACCTCGTAGACCGAGAGCAGGTCGAGACGCTTCCCCGTCAAACGGTCACGGGTATCGGCGACGATCCACTCGCGAGTTATCGATGTGGCAGAGTAAACAAACAACGACGAGGTTGTACCTCTCTCCCTGCAGGCAGAGAGAGGCTAGCAGATGCGTGCGTATGTCGCCAGGATCATGGGTACGTAGTTGGGAAAGAGAGCTCTGGGGCTTTCTTAGAAAGGGGGGAGGGCAGGTGGGGTACAAGTATGTATGTATGTAGGCGAGGGATATGGAGTGACAGGCAAGGTCAACCCCCCCAAAACGGGTTATAATGTAAGTGAGTATAACCTATAACCTGCCTAGGGGTGGGAAGAGGATGGGGCTCGGGGTCTCGTTAATCGCCGCGCTTCCCAGATCGGAGAGACGAGGGTGCGCTTGTCGACGGTGACGGTTGGGGCCTCGAGCCGCACCTCGCAGAAGGGGGAAGGTGTATGAAGGTGGGAAGGGTGGAGGGTGGAGGGGGGGGGGGGAGAAAGTAGCAAGGGAGCCGTCAAAACGTGTGGTGTGGTGGATGTGGGTTGGTCGGACAAGGGAAACAGATGGCTTGATATCCCCGGGATCTCTCTCTGCCGACGACGAGGGGAAACGCCGTCAGACGCGGCAAAAGAAAGCAAGAGTCAGACAAGCAGAAGAAGCAGGAACAGTAGTAGCAGTAGTAGCAGTAGTAGCAGTAGTAGCAGTAGTAGCAGTAGTAGCAGCAGTAGCAGTAGTAGCAGTAGTAGCAGTAGCAGTAGCAGCAGCAGTAGTAGTAGT